CTGGAGGAACCTCCAGTCTCCACTTCTACCTTTAATTCCACACTTGCTGACTCAAAAATGTCAAAACAAGTTGTGACCTGAGGCCAAGACACGGTCGAGGTGGCGACAGAAGCATTTATTTTCCACGAAGCAGCAGATGATTCATTCAACTCTGTGTGTGCTGTTAGAGCAGGAGATCAGTCCAGCTCTGTGTTTCCTGCCTCACGTTGGAATGGCTGCTATCTGCCTGCTGCAAATATGGGTGAGTGTGTCAAAGAGCACCTTGCCAGAAGGTGACTGTCTGCGTTATTTATGTGCATTGTGTGTGTGGAGCAGCAGAACACAGAGGAACACAACCGAATCCCAGGAAGGACATAAATCAAGCAGCCTCAGGAGCTGTGGTTTAGCCAGATGCCCCTAAATGTTTAAATCCAGTCTGTCACACTGATATGATGCAAGCAGAGGACAGTTACAGACACCAGCAGCTGCTTCAGGAGCTTCAGAGTATCAAACCAAAACAAGTGTGTTATGGACACAAAGGTAGGTGTGTCCTCTCACACAGGAACAGGAGCTTCACGAGGTCTGAACAGCTGAGGAAGAACTTGAGAAAACACAGGAATACAGACACTGATGGGTCTCACGCTGAGGAGACTAGATAGACGGATTATACCAGAGCCCAGAGAGGCGAACCCGATCCAGCTGGGCTCGACTGAACCTAAACGTGTTCTCCTGCACAGAATAGAGCATCATGTGTCAACAGGTTGTTCCAATGGAGAGAAAAACAGATTATTGTGAAGAAGCGCTGCTACTGCAAAGGAAACAGAGAGAAGCGACCGTAGAGACGAGTTCACTGTGTATGTGGCCTACATTAGAACTGGTCATCTTTTAATTCCACACATCTGAACATGATGCGGTGGCTCTGTCTCACACTGTGCCTATGATTGATATCAAAGTGAAATCAATGGTATTTATTGATCACTCTCTGGGTTAATAGCAACAGACTGATTCAGTTTCTAATCTGTTCTATCAGCTGCAGTACCAGCAGTGTGAACGGACCAAACATAAACCTCATTTATGCGTCACCTGTAGGTTTCCAGCCAATGCGTAGCCTCCAGTGTGTGATGCTGTGACTGCACGTCTTCGTTCAGCGGTTCTCGTAACGTACAGCTCAACAGGTCTGCAGATAGAAAACATTCCCTCAGCTGCTCACAGGGAATCGTCAGGAAACAAACTAATGACAGGAAGGCGCTTTTTACAGGAGATTTAAATCCAAACTCTAAACTAAACCTCCTAGCACGGTCATCTGGCAGGTACAACCTTCAGGACACTAAAGTTCAGGCTTCAGGCTCAACACATCTGCTGAGCCTTTAATCTGGACTCACAATACAGCATCCAGAGCGCGTTCATCCTCAAGTCATAACAGAAAACAGCCCAGACAGTTTACCACTGAACTACAGGCAGGAAAATCACACACTGTGGATAGCGTGGGGGATTCAATCACGTCTACATAATATGTAAAGTACATGCTGGACATGTCTGCATTTGAATCTCCACTGATCAGGTTACTACCGAAAGAGAAATGATGATGGCAGGAAGAAGACAAAGAGAGAAAGTACACCAGCTAGCTGTGTGTGTGTGTGTGTGTGTGTGAGTGTGTTTTCCTGCCAGCGTGTGTGACTAAAGCCAGGTCTGACAGCAGAGAAAGCGAGAGAGAAGGAAAAAGGAAGCAGATGCTTGTGTGCTGGCACAGAAATCGTATGTGTCCACTCAGTCGCTCACATTCACACACAGCACTAGCTCGGTCCACAGAAGGAGCAGCTCATGACAGAGCTCCAGCATTGTCTTTATGGAGGAAGAATACTCCATGACCAGCAGGAGAGAGGACGTCAAGGCCACAGAGTGAATGAATGAAAACAGAAGAAAACAATTAGAATCTGGAGGTGTGTGTGTTTGTTTGAGCTCAAATTCAACAGAAACCCTAAAGCGTGAGCTGGAAAGAGAGACGGTAAAAACTGAGCAATGACAAGCAAAGCACATCAATGCAGAGGCATCCCCAGTAGCCCCCCAAACACCTGAGAACACCTGAGAACACCTGTGAACACCTGTGAACACCTGTGAACACCTGTGAACACCTGTGAACACCTGTGCACGTATAGACACCGACCAAACAGCATCAACAGGATTCACCCTCCCATTGGAAGCTTCAGCCTTTTATTGCTTCTCAGTGGTCGATGCAACCGGTCCTACAAGAACTTATAGAAACCACAGGCAGCCTTTAATGTCAACGGAAAGACAGACTTCTGCAAAAAAATAGTGATGTCACAGTATTCAGCCTTTGGAAGCCAGTGTCCAGTCAGAACCAGTCAGAACCAGTCAGCACCAGTCAGCACCAGTCAGAACCAGTCAGAACCAGTCAGCACCAGTCAGCACCAGTCAGCACCAGTTAGAACCAGTCAGCACCAGTCAGAACCAGTCAGAACCAGTTAGAACCAGTCAGCACTGAGCCGTCTGGACGCTGCAGTCTGACCTCACCTCTCTTTTCAAAATAGTCCAGTTGCACAGTACCTCGTACCTCCTTCAGAGGAGTCATAGGAGTCTTGGTGGCCTCCCTCACTCGTCTCCTTCTAGTNAATAAACAGTGCTCAACAAATTAGCAAGTGAGACAGGTGGTCTAATATATTTATATATATGCATATAGACCATCCAGCATCATGAAGTGCTTTAATGTGGAGTCTTTAATTTTCAGCGAGCTCTCCATGTTTGACCATTCTGGACAGGAATGAGGAGTTTAACCTGAATTCACCTTTTTGTAAATTTGAAAATTCCTGGATAACAATAATATTACATTCTATATAATAATATATCAAATTTTAGTATTAAAAATATAATTTGTGATAAAGAGCTCCTGCACACTGGTGTATGAACAGAAACATAAGAAACGATGTGGGTAATTACCAGTGCTGTTAATTTAGGGCAGCTGCACCACAACCCTCACACTGGGTGGAGGTCTGAGATATTTGTTAAGTCTGTACATCTATATCTATATCTATATAAAATGAACAGCTACATAGAACAGACATCAGCAAAATGGTGAATTTCTGATGACATTTTTTCAAACATCGTGGGGGCTTCTATTTCAATGTTCAGTTGACAGAGGGACATGTGAGCATACTGTTATTGCTGTAATACACACACCGACTACATTCCTGCTGCTCTCTGACCACAGCCGCCTCAGACACATGCCAGTGAATGTTCGCTTCCATTAATAAAGGTGACTGTATTTATTTGGGTGGCTGTTTGTGTCCGTAGTTGCGTGCCGATTGCTGAGTTGTCAGGTTGCTTCGGTGCGTCTCTTTGTGGGTCAGACCCTCTTTCCCTGCCGTCACTGCTCTGCTAAAGCAGCTCCTTCCTGCTGCTGCTCACTCCAACCCCCCAGCTATGCTCCATTATGTCAGCCCCTCGGACCGCTCCTGAAAAAATATCTCTTTCCCCTCCGCCGCCGCCGTCCTCTGCATTCCTCTTTCCGTGCTGCCTTCCATTCAGCGCCGGCCTTTCTTTCCCCCTATCTCTGTCGCTCATCCCTTGTTCCTGTGAGACAATGTCTTGTAACAATACAGAGCTTAATCTCCGTGTCAAAGCCGTTTTTCCCCTCCACCGAACACACACACACACACACACACACACACACACTTTCACTGTGTGTTTTCTGCATGTTCTGTTTCTTCTGAGGACGAGACGGATTCTCCAGATGTTACACCAACAAATGCTTAGAAAAATATGTTTAATTATAATGTATGTAGTAATGTATCCTACAGTCCGACTGTTGTTTTTTTAATTGCTGTTTGTTAGAGACGATCTCTTATTAATACATCAGATATCAAACACAGGGAATTTGACGAGAAGACAAAACCTCTCATGACATCCTTCATATCTGTACTGGCAGTGATCCAACATGTTTAGAAATTATTCATGAAATCCTGTTAATTAGATTCCAGTATTTAAACACAGAACCTTTTTTAAAGACTGTTTAAAGTTGGTCTGATGATGGCTTAACGTTGAGGTAACGCTGGGGAAACCCTTGTCTGATCAGGACGGGTTCTAGAGCTTTAACCATGACACTCAGAGCTTCAGTGGATAAATGGGAACGCTTTACGGATTGGAACCGTGTGTGTCGGTTACCTGGAGAACCGCTTCCTGTTGTTCATCGTCTCCTAACGCATGAATTGTGGAAGCAGAAACAAAACCAGACAGATCAGATTGCTTATAGGTAGAAAAACGAACCGCATGTTTTCATCTGCTTTCTCCTGATTCTTGTATTTAAAGCTGCTTTTTAGATAAAATCATTTCTTCATATTTTTCTGTCACATATTATCGCTATTTCATTTTTAAAAAAACAACAAGAACATGTAGAAGTAATTAAAGCTGTAGCTGTCCGTCCAGTGTTTCACTGGAGGATGAATTCATGCATCGATGTTGTGCAACAGAGGCCCGGCTCCAGGCAAATAAGACGACAGCATGCAAATCCGTCCCAAAGCCGACGTGCGGCTGAGCTATTATCCATCTCGAGCAGCAAACAGGAAGCAGCATTCAGCAGTAAATCTATTATTATCTCATGCCTGTAAATCATCACACCTTTACACTCAGCAACCTGTAATGTTTCAGCACGCAGCAGGAGAGACGTCTCATTGCTGTTCGTCGTCTTTGTTTTTCTGCACGAATCTATCGCGCTTATAACAGAGTGAGCTCTAAAAAAACTGCAGCATGTAGAGAAACACTAAGCAGAAGTGTATGCGCAGCTATTTTATAAATTGCAGTCTCAGTGATGCTTTTCACAGCGACTTATTTATTTAAACTGGCCTTCGTCCCACCTGCTGTGTTTTAATACGACTGTTCATCCTGGCTCCTCTGCTGCTTTGTTTGTTGGTTTCTTTTAAGATATTATCACTGTTATTATTATAAATTCACAGAATTATTTTCATTGTAATTCTGACAGATTTATTCACGATGTTCTTCTGCTGCAGTTCAATCGCTGCATCACCTCCCAGCTGATCAAGTGGTTCAGCAACTTCCGGGAGTTCTACTACATCCAGATGGAGAAGTTTGCACGGCAGGCCATCAACGAGGGCGTCACCGCTGCCGAGGAGCTGACGGTGGGCCGCGACGCCGAGCTGTTCAGGGCGCTCAACATGCACTACAACAAGGCCAACGACTTCGAGGTAAGCTCGAAAAATACATTTGGTTTTTGGGCGCTGTCACCGAACCCACATCTGAAAACCTTTAATTAATCCCTAATTAGCCAAACACTGCAGTTCCCTCAACGCAGGCATTGTTGATTTTGCTCTTTGCACCTCCGTCTGTTAACGGAGGAAAAACCAGGAGAGCGGGTCGGTCTGCCTTCAGTGTAATCAGCGCACCGTTGGCTTTTTCTTTTACAATTTGCTAAATATGTCAGACTTGACGTGTGCTCTTTATTCATGATGTTGAACATGAAGGTTTAACCGTTCCTCAGCTCACTCTGAACACGGAATCAAAACTGAATTCAGCACAACTCCAACGCACTCGCTCACACCAACGTCCTCTACCAAGTCAGCTGTTCGGAGCGCAACAGTCACCTCACGATTCTGCTGAGGTGTGGATGTCGCAGTGTGTGTGTGTGTGTGTGTGTGTGTGTGTGTGTTCGATGAGGCGAAAGAGGACGCTGCTGGAGGCGCGGGTGTCCTTGTCAAAGCGATTTGCAGAAGTCACATTCCCTCCCTCACTTTTTCTCTCCCAATATTGGTCTAAGGGGACCGGAGGGCCCTTAAACTATCCAACGTAACATCAGCAGCATTTAGATGTCCATTAGCGCACACACACCTCGCCGCCGACACACACACACACACACACACTGCTCTCTTTCTGCTTAGGGAGACAAATGTTGAAGCTTAAACGTATAAAGAGGAAGATGTGCAGACACAACAGTCCCACACAGACATCAGGGTGTCCAGCGTGTCCTGCCAGGAGGCATGAATAGCGAACGCTTTGCATACTTTGCATAACAAGAGTCAGGTAGCTTTTCACAGGTGTGTATGTAAAGAGCATGTTCAGGAAACAGACACACACATGCAAATAATTTATGTGTGTGTTTATTCTGGCTGTTCCTGGCTGGGGATATTTTTAGGGAGTGGAGGTCGCGGTTCAGACGGGGGTCAGCCGTGGGAGAGCGACGGGAGCGTTTGGTTCACAGCAGCCCTCAGTCATGAACTATTAGAGCTGTGTTAGAGCTGCACAAGCCAGTGTGTGTCTCACACACACGTCCACCGGCTTCAGCTCATTTCATCGCATGTCAGCGCCGTATGAAAATCAACCTGGAGACACTCGAAACCCTGAAACTGAGATATTCAAACGACTGAACAGGAAAAATCAGCATCTTGTACTCTGTCTGTGTGTGTGTGTGTGTGTGTGTGTGTGTGTGTGTGTGTGTGTGTAATCTGTGTATGTGTGTGTACACTCTGTGTATGTGTGTGTACTCTATGTGTGTGTGTGTGTACTCTATGTGTATGTGTGTGTACTCTGTGTGTGTGTGTGTACTCTGTGTTTGTGTGTGTGTGTGTGTGTGAGTGTGTGAGTGTGTACTGTGTGTGTGTGTACTCTGTGTATGTGTGTGTGTGTACTCTGTGTGTGTACTCTGTGTGTGTGTGTGTACTCTGTGTTTGTGTGTGTACACTCTGTGTGTACACTCTGTGTGTGTGTGTGTACACTCTGTGTGTGTGTGTGTGTACTGTGTGTGTGTGTACTCTGTGTGTGTGTGTGTGTACTCTGTGTGTGTGTGTGTACTCTGTGTGTGTGTACTCTGTGTGTGTGTGTACTGTGTGTATTGTGTGTGTATGTACTCTGTGTGTATACTCTGTGTGTGTGTACTGTGTGTGTGTGTACTCTGTGTGTGTACTCTGTGTGTGTGTACTGTGTGTGTGTGTACTGTGTGTGTACTGTGTGTNTCCTGGTCCACCAGAGGCCGGACGTCCTGGTTCACCAGAGGCTGGATGTCCTGGTTCACCAGAGGATGGACCTCCTGGTCCACCAGAGGCCGGACCTCCTGGTCCACCAGAGGCCGGACCTCCTGGTTCACCAGAGGCTGGACCTCCTGGTCCACCAGAGGCTGGACTTCCTGGTTCACCAGAGGCCGGACGTCCTGGTCCACCAGAGGCCGGACTTCCTGGTCCACCAGAGGCCGGACCTCCTGGTCCACCAGAGGCCGGACCTCCTGGTCCACCAGAGGCCGGACCTCCTGGTCCACCAGAGGCCGGACCTCCTGGTCCACCAGAGGATGGACGTCTTACACACAGGTGTTTTTAAACTACACTTACTGAGACACATCCACTGCACTAAGATGATGTCAGTTTGACCTAAAGCACCGATGGGTTGCATCTGTGTTGAATCAGGCAATTCACTTTCAAGGTACGAATACTTACACAAGCCCTTGTTTTACATTTTTAACGTACTGACAGAAATGCTTTTTCACTCTGACATGAAACAGTCTTTTTTTGTAAACTCCAGTCTAAAAAGCTCAAACAAATTGACTCTGATTCAGTGTTGAAAAGCAACAAAAGGAGGAACTTGTGAGCAGGGTGATGTTTTCATCGGCCCGGCAGTCAGACGGAGGCTGAATGACTTCGAGGAAACAGAAGGAACAAAACACACACAGTCTCCTTCTGTTTGAACACCTTGAGAAACAAACATATGGTGTTTGTACAGTGATTCTTAAGAGCCCAGGATGTGTTTTTGTGCAAGATAGTGAGCACGTCAGAAAAAGAAGAGCAGGCAGAAAAAAGCATATGGAAAGGTGAACAGGTAGAGTCACCTGAGGACATGCAAACACACGCACAGCCCAGACGTCTCCATCAGCCTCACGGTGACAGCATGAAGAGAGAAACATTCATCCTTCCTTATGCAGGGAGCTGGAGGAGGAGGAGGAGGAGTGGCTTATGTTCAGAAGAGAGGAGAGATGGGGAAGGAAAAGGGAGGAAGATGTGGAGAGGAAGGCAGAGAAGAGGGGAGAAGTGAGCAGGTGAAAACAGAAGATGCTGAATGAGAGGCTCAGAGGGTAAAGGAAGACAGAAAAATTCAAAAGAAAATAAGAAAAAGCTGGAGTGCTGGAGGACACAAGGGCACCAACTCTCATGTTTCTATGAGCTGACAGTAGAACTACCAATAAGCAGGAGGTTTATTCAGCAGTGAGTTTCATCTACAGTGGGACTGAGTCAGTCACTGAGGCCTCATTTCTTCATTCCTCCTGATTTTGATTCCCTGATGAAGCTTTTTTATTGGTTCTTTTTGCTGAAGATTTTCCACCTATTCCTATGAAGAAGCTGCTTTGTTCCACTGACCTCCAGACTGTCAGACTGAACAGAGGTTTAGATGCCGGAGGTCAGTGGGTTTTATTTGTTCACAAAGAGCAGCAACATCAGCGTCATATAACGGATGATGTTCAGCATGACAGATGAAAACGGTAGAGAAGGAAACACTATTGATGGCTGTCACACAGGCTACAGGGTGGATGCCTGGTGTAGGGTGAATAAAACGCCTTAGAGGAGGTTTCTCAGTGGGATTTTACTCACACACCTCATGGAGATGCTGATGGTGCTCTGATTCAGAGGTTGTGATGAATTGATTTCTCTGCATACTCAAAGGCTTTCATGTGAATTATGTGACAAAACTCTGGACAATAACCAAGAAAAACCGTGTTAAAGGCCTTCTCTGCTGGGTGACTGCACTGCCAGGCTGATCTTACAGTAAGAGAGACGATCTGAAGTGTTTTACATGTTGGACGTGTTAAAGCAGGACAGTGTCTCCAGAAAGAAGTCACCTACTTATGAAGGGCTCTCCTTTATTCTAAAAATATTTTCAGTGCAACACTGCCCTTTTGTGCTTGTGGCTTGCACTGTAAAAAAAAACAAAAAAAATACTAAATTAGTCAAACGGACGTCACTGTTGCTAAGTGCTCACTGCTGTGCAGTTTCTGCGCTTCATGTTCTCAGGTTTGGTTTGCATTTGTCCTGTTGCTGCTCATGCAAACAGTTCTTCTTCTTCTTCTTCTTAAAAAACAGCCACTACTACAAGCATGTTACACCAGAACAACAGATTTAACAGCCATTTGGAGCTTCTCTTAAATCTCTACTCAGAGTTTAGACAGAGCAGTGAGTGAATGAAACGTTTGGATTTAAACCTGTTAGTAGTGAAACAGTGTCAGGAAAGGTCTTGTGCTTGTCCCTCAGAAACACAGGGTGCTCAGCACTGCTTAACATGCACCTGACACGCCGCCGCCATCGAGACGCAGATGGTGAAAGCAAAAGGCAAAGACTGATAAATGTGTAAAGAACAATAGCTGCAGTACAGAGAAGCTCAGTGAGGACGAGCAGGCAGCAGAACAGAAGCGGTGAAAACAGTGCTGCCACATTTCCTGCTAACTTTACATTTCAAATATCACAAGGCGAGTCTGATGAGTTTTCTGCTCTATACGACAAACACTCGGGCAAATTCTCATATGGCTGAATTTCCAGGAAGAGATGAGGGAGGGATGAACTGATGAGGAGGAGAGAGAGGACGGAGGGAGGCGTCCCAGTAGGCCTCTTTGTTGGGCAGCGATTTAGAGATTTACAGGCTCTTGTCCTTCTGTGTGTGTGTGTGTGTGTGTGTGTGTGTGTGTGTGTGTGTGTGTGTGTGTGT